TTTCTTAAAACCATAGGGGCAAATTTGACATAGAAGAGGGACACAGTGTCTGGGTGATGCAGACCAGAGAGACATGAGGCTATGACAAGTTACCGATATGCAATGACAAGGAGAATGAATGCAGTGATTGTGCGGGCATTCCAAGCTAGGAAAAGGCTTGGAGTGATCAGTGGCTTCTGTCGCATAAGCCATAAAATAAGAAAACTACCATCACCTCTGCCACCATCTGGAACGTAAGAGCACTACCAAAGGCTGCATCCATGGTTCTGCACACGGTTACGGCACGCAGCTCCATAAAAGTAAAGTGAGAACACATAAATGCTTCAATGTGGTAGTGTCAGAGTGCATACCCAAATCTGTTGCAGCCAAATTAGAAGAAAATCACTGCTTTTTTACAGAGTCATTTTAGAAAAAACTTTAAATCAGTTTGAGGATAACGTTATACATTCTATAGATATTTGCTGATGAATGGAAATTCTTCGTTAGATTAGAAATTTCGTAAAATGCTTTCACTAGATCGAGTTTTAATAGTGTTTGAGGGGTATTCTTTATTATTTATTTATCATGAATACATTGAAAGGCTGACGACAAAAGCTGCATACAAGCAGCTTGACAGGCCCGTCAGCCCAATTCAAACGTCAGCAGCAGACGGCAGATATGCATGCTGTAGAAATTTACAGTAATAGACACAACACACCAAAGTATCGCAATTCTATTGCGATAACAAAAATATGCAAGTAAAAAAATATATGCACGCTAACAACTAAACAAAGAAACGATATTGTATTCGAAAAACATGGGAACGCTACAAACAAGAAAAAGAGAAACGACGAGGCAATACTGAAACATACAAAAGTGCAAATAGTGCAAAATTGAATAGACTGCAAGACAGCGTTAGTTTCCTTCCGATCTGGTCAGACGAGTCCAACGAAAAAAGTATGGTCATATCATTGGCATACAAAATGCACTTAGCTTGTTGACATAAGCTTAAAATATCATTAATATATAAATTAAACAACAAAGGTCCTAATATACTCCCCTGTGGAACTCCAGCTATTATACGCTTAACAGATGATTTGTGGGTATCAATACAAACATACTGTGTGCGACTGGCTAAGTAAGAGGCGAGTAAAGAGTGAACACAACCGCGGAAGCCATACCTATCAAGTTTCGATAAAAGTTATTAGTAAAATTCACACATTGGGGAGCAATGAAAAGTTTGTAAATGGGGGGTGGAGGAGCGTTCTGGAGACGATGTTTTGACAAGTGGACTTGTTTTTTACAAGGCTCAACAAAATTTTGAGAAATTTCGTTAAATACAGGAATCATATACTTTATCATTGTGCCTATCTCAAGAGATGAAGTCACTTGGCCCACGCCTTGAAGACATCGAAGGGCGAGAAGGTGGAGTCCGGTGGAGGGGGGAAATTGAGCTCCTCCAGAAGATGGCCACTGACACAACATCAGCAGCAGTCTGAGGCATCGTTCTGCTACAGTGTTTCCAGAAGTTTCCCGAACTCGGTAGGCCAGTTTCTCAATCTCTGAGAACGGCGACTGCGACGCCTTCCCACGCTTCCGAACTGTCGGTGCTGTAGTGGCGACCTCGCGTGGTCGACAATAGCTGAGTAGAGAGGTTGACTCCATGAGAACTGCCACAGTGCCACCGTCTCACGCTGTACGAACCCATTCATCAAAAGGGTTGTTTTGAAAAGCTTTTGTTGTGACCCAACCACAGAGAACTGGGCACCAATGGAGTTGAAAGCATTCTAGCAGATTGGCTTACGCACAATGGCGTCTGCCCAGACGAACTGCCGGGCCAAACCACCGTATACAGGGCCATAGTGGCCGGCGACGGGAAGGAGCACGTTTAAGGGAGTCGGAAGGCTATCTGCTGCCTCCTCGCTCGGTGCAGATTCGGTAAGGATTTCCTGCCTAATCTGCAGTGCGAACATAGCTCATAAAAGATGGTTAATGGGTCCCCGTCGGCACCACCACCACTCCCCTCCCTCACAATGTGCGAGAAGCTCGTTTGCCCGAGGTGGAAAAATGAGCTCAGCCCAGAGCCAGTGAAGGCGTGTAAGTATTGGTATCACCCGAAAGGTTAAAGCATGAAAAAACTTTATGGGACGTCAGAACCCTCTCAACTCCTCTATTCGGCCTTGTAGTGCACCCAGATTTCCAGGCTTAATTTCGTGCACTAGAGTGAGCAAGGCGATTTTAGCCATAGCAGGCATCACCTCTCCTCTGACTAAAGAGAGAGCAGTTCCTCTTCCAGACACTGTAAGGTTGAGTATATCCACGCTGTCACCGCGCTTTTTTCTGTGTATGACGTACAGCCGTCTACCAAGGCGAGCAGCAACCATTTTTCGTAAAAGCTCTCAACTGTGCCGTACAGAATGCTTTTTCATATTGATGATTGGGCGCTTATAATTCAATCACACTGGTATCATGCTGTTCACTTTAGTGTTCCCTCCACAGTGAAATTATTTTAGCTACCCAGGCAGTGAAATCGACAATCTCGTTTTGCGCACTGTTGCAGCAGGTACCAAAATGAATGTGAAGAGCTGGCAGCTGTGCACTTACCAGGCTGTGAAGACCTGCAGGGATGAACCCGTGGTTTGTCAAATTCCTACAAGCATCCCAGATACAAGAATGGCAGTTTAGCAGCCTTCATTGCTGTGCGCATTCATCATTGAAACACACCCTCTACTAGGTCGCAGGAAGGTATACATATCACACGAAATGGCAGGTTATGATCGCGTTTGAAAGAAATTAAGAGAGAAAAAGTGCACAAGATGACGAGACCTTCTTACCTTGTGTCACCTCTCCTTAGCCTCCAGTGTTTTCATTGAGACAAAAGCAGAGAGAAAGCATGCCACAAATCTTTGCAACCTTGCCTGCTTGCTTGATTCTATATACCTGGCTCGTACCCACTATGGCAAGCTCCCCACCTTTCTTATATTTCTTCTCTTTCTCTCTATCTTTTAAATATCGCTCGTGCTGGTGGATTCTTGAGTGATAATTTAATGTTGAGACAAATGTCAAATCTATAATTGGGCATTCTCGATGTGCTGGCTGTTACGAAAGGCCACTAAATGTGTTGAAATACAATCAGTCTATGAAACAGTTTTTCAATTCGTGTATACGAATAGATACACTATCAACCACATCATAGTTCCAGAAAATTCCTCTTTTGTTAAAAAGGACATCAGGTAGCAATTCACAGCAGTGCTTTTCGTCATCTACTATAATTGGCAAACTGCTGGGGTCACCAGAGATTTGAGGCTAATACCCGTGTCACACGGGCGCGCAAAAAGTCTTTTAAGTAAGCGGTCTTTTACGAAGTTGAAAGACTTTTAACAAAGAGGTGTTTGCGGCGCAGACACATGGCAGCAACGATCTCCTTTTAGTGTTTTCGTTCGAAGACGCTAGCGAAAGCGTGGTGCTAGCGGTTAAAAGAGAAGCAATGAAAATTAAACGATGTATCACGATGTACAAATTAACGACTTGTTGCACTGCTCGTTTCTTCAAATAAATTTAAGAATAAGAGATAAAGAAACACCAATGTGAAAGTTTTTTGCACTAGATAAGGAAGCATTCCCATAACTAGCGACGTGCCCAAGTCCGTCTGGCACCACTGTGCTTTTATTTACCGTATTTGTTTTTCGCTGCTCTCGACTGCTCTCGACACGTTATGGGCGACCGTACCGGAGAAAAAGCGAGGATCGCAAGCCTCACGGCCTGCCTTCTCGCTCTGGAAAGCGAGGCAGACGCTGCAAAAGCCGCCAAGGAGAGGATAAAGCAGCGCAAGACCGAGCGTCACCACGTGATATTGCTGACGCGTTGTAGCTGCTTACGAGAGTAGAAAAGGAAATAACCATTAAAGAGTTCATATTTGTTTTTACAAAGAGTTTTGGTGGCAGAAAAATAAGCATTCGCTCTTTTTTTCCCACCACTCGAAAATTGCTCGCGCCCACTGGTTTCGAGGCTACTCACTCGGAGCCGTAAAAGAGATCGACGAACGCCGTTTAAGAAAAAGACCGCTTCTGAAAAGGAGTTCGCTCTGTGCTGTGTGTCTGCTGTCAGGAACTCCTTTTCGGAAAAAAACCGCTTCTTAAAAGACTTTTAAGTGCCCGTGTGACAGGGGTATAAGCTTCAATTTCGTAATTCTGTGCAGTTACTTTTGGAGCCCAACAAATCTATCTACATGCCGGTAAGGTAACTCCATTCAATAAGATATGTAATTGGTAAAGCACGCTTGCCATTGGTTACGATGCTGCTGAATCGATCTACAAACAATATAGAAGACAAAGGAAGATGCACAGCCATTTTTGTGAATTCTTCATGACCACATTTTTACATTTTTTTACAAACACAGTAGCCTTAGATTATCTTGGATACAACATTGCTTAAAATCAGCACTACTGTTTTCTCCAGTGAAGAGAATGTTAGAACCCATCAAAATCACTTCATGCCAACTATGGTAGTGTAGCAGTGTCTGGAGTGGAAGGTGTTAACACCTCTGATTGGCTTTGGGACAAACTAATATTGGATGGGGTAGATATCACTTCAAAGGCACCCTGAGATGCACGAGGTTTTTCTCTACTTTCGGAACAAGTAGGTGCCACTGAAGCATTAAGTTCAGGCATCAATGAGCCATCCTCACTATCATGTGTCTCCAGTGGAAAGAATTCGGGTGATCCCGGTGTACTAGATACCAATTTAGATGCAATTTCAAAATCTTTAAGTAGCTCTTCCCACTTAGATGTATCAAAAGCTGAAATGTTGCACAGGTTGCTTTCAGGCTGCTTAACTTTCTCCAGGTTGACTGAGCTGGTTGAATCCTGGCTGTTTGCTTGCTTCTGAGCGGTTGAAGAAGTGAGGTCAGCAGTGCCACTACTTTCTGAGACTATATGTTTGGCCTTGCTTTGAACACACTTGGGTGGTTTCGGTGCGCTTGGATCAGCTACGCTGCCTTTTGAGGAAGAAGGAACACTTTCTTTTGCAGGACTTGTCCAGGCACCTGCACATCGTGTCTAGCAGCCACTGTCTCAACGGGATTCCTGGGAAGACACAAGAGACTATGAAGCTTTCGCTCCTTTGGCAGAATACATAGCATGCACTCCAGAGACAAGCTCACCTGTTTTCTGTGTGTTTGCCAACAGGTATGAGATGCTTGAAGATGAGGAGGGCTCGTTCTATCTCTTTCAGCAAAGAATCCGGAACTAGTGAATATCCTGCTTGCTGCTGGCAACGCTTGCACTCTTCAGAGCGTAGCTGTCTGTTTTCCTCAGCCAGCTGCGGAAAAAATTTTTGGGGGGTCTCTGGAAGCATGATAATGATAATTCTACCCTTTCAAATATATATTATGTTGAAAAAAAGAAAAGAAAAAAACCCCAAACCTCACCTCAAGAAGCTTTCCTTTCAATATCTTGATGTCTTTCTGCGCTCTTCTTAAGCTTTCTTGGCATTGACGCAGGTCTTCCTTGGGTCGTACAGAAATGAGCACAAGGTGTAGAAATCAGACAAGACACAGATGGTTATACTACACAAGGCAGAGCTGAGGTACAGAATCGCTACATAACATTTTTCTCAAAATCCATCTGAATGCTCACATTATGCTGGTCACACAAAGTTGACTTTAGCAACTTCCAAAATCTGGGCAATGGATCGTCAACGGAACAATTTTCATAAACACCTTTCCTCATTTTGTGCCGGTCTTACACAAGGTTACCAATCTTAGAAGTAGGGGTTACGTTTTCACCTGCTTTATATCAGCTTTACAGACAATTGACAGCATAATCCTTCTTTGCTTAGTTTGCCACGCTGTAATCATTCAGATTACTTGTAGACTCTTACAATCTGTTAACTATATTATGCGAGTGATAAAACTACGATAAGATAGTTTCTAATATCAGCGAGAACCAAAGAGATCATTGATATGATGGTCAGGAATACGGCAATCAGCAATGCACCGGCTTCCTAAACCTGTTTTTCTTACACAAATAATCCTACCCCCAAATTCTTTGGAATGAAGCTGTCTTATAGTCTACCCTTTGCCGTCATCACCCTCATCATAGTAGTCACCACACAGATCGTGTCAACAGAGTCAGGAGTGAATAAATGAAACCAAATGATGATTACTTTTGTGCCAAAAGTTACCATCATCATTATCATTACAGCTTCCCTGTCCAACTGAGTTCGTGCCATGGAATCAGCTGATATATATATTTTCTTACCTGTGCTACCACAGAGATAGAGATGTGGGCCAACACAGCACCAAATACTTAGTCACTGACAGTCGAATCCAACAACACCAACGTCCAACGCCTCCTAGATTTCCCTTGCCTGCCGGATGAGCGCGAAACACTTGTCATCTATGGCAGCGCTATCTACATAGGAATAAAGGTCTTTGTATTTGGCCTTAGAGATTTGCAATTTTGGCATTTGCAAATTTTGGAGGCTATGCCTAGTGTCGAAGTGGTTGCCTGCTGAATGAGCGCAAAACGCCTGTCATCTATGGTGGCGTCACCTATGTAGAGTTAATTAAAATTACATTTGCGCCTTTTAAAAACATTTCTACGCCTTTCTTTTGTTTCTTTATTTGCCAAGCGTCCACTTGAGCACCGCATGCCTGAGTTGATGTCTGCGGTCGACGAGTTCGCGGACTCCGTTGCGGCATCGACGGCAAAAAAGCACCGGACCACTCAGGATAAGAAATTCTCCCACCTGTTGGACCAGAGTTCCACCCGAAGCACCCAAAATTCCAGGTTTGTCACCAATCTTTCATTTCGCCCACACACTGATCGGCAACAGTTTCATGCCGAATTGCACCCTCTGGCGTCACCCGTTTGCTTGCCACTCCCGGTAACCATGTCCGAATCTTCAGAGGGCAATGGAAACAGGGCGGGGCAATGTAGTCGTTCACATCTGGTGAGTTCTGGACGAGGGCGTTGAATGGCGCAGCGCTTTGCCCCACCCGTGAGTGTAGCAGAGAGAGAGCCGGAATACCAGCTGCAGTCCGTGACGCGAGCGTTTCATACGCCTATGTGATTTAACGAGTGAAGGTCGGCCCGGAGTGACAGCGGCATGTCTCCCGTCTCAGCGATTGTTGGGCCGGTTTTAGAGAATCGGAGCAAGCATAAAAACCGGCGAATTGCAATACGATGCACTGCGTCTAGT